TAATAAATAGCAAATCCACGAAACAAAGGCTACGAATTAATTTGTACACCCAATAACGTTCGTACTCTCGTCAGAGTTGACGTTGCGAATTATTTCTGCTATAAAACGGGAAAGAAATACCTACCGTTGAAAATCTGCGCGTGTAAACTGCGACATCGTAACGAACAGCGGGAAATGAAACGGTGTCGGATCGGCAAACCGAAGATACATAGATATTCCGAAGACAATATCGAAAACGAACATATGTATGTATATTTCAATGGTAGCATGTACAGAAAAAGTACAATGTATTGAAAAACATTGATTTACGTAGCAACGAATCGTGTTTAGATCGACGAGTGCGAATTATACACGTAAGTGTCTCCCTTCTGAACGAAGGGAAATAAAAAAGAAAAGGGAAAAACAACGTACTGGATTGAATTTGTGCAAATATATTACTTAAGTATATAAAATAGATGTAGATGTATATATCTAATGCGTGTATAAATAAAAAGTCGCGGTAGTGCGAAAAAGGTACGGTTAGAAAAGTGAACTGGACGGGAAGGTTCGGCACGAGGTGCGCGTATCTACCGAATAGTATAATCGATTGAAAATTCGGAAGATCGACGTACATCCAATATGGATTTTATCGACCGTTTTCTTTTTCTTTTGTCTTTTGTACGATGGAGAAGATTGAAAAAACAGCGTTGAGAGTGGGGTTGTTGGGTGTCCCTTGGGCGCAACGATTATAGATTTTCTTCTTTCTTGCATTCTGATTGTCCGCGCTGATACGCGCGATCGCGCGATCGCGCGATTCCAAATGGCGAAACAAGAGCGTGATGGAAGCGCGCGATCGTCCAGCTAACTGTCTGTATAGTCTTTAAGGCACGTAGTAGATTACAGAGTCTCTCGTTAAGCTAAGGTACGACACACGATCGGTTCAGGGGCCTCGTTGGACTAGCTTCGACCCATCGATCTCTCCGCGAACCTGCTGCCTGGGGACAGCAGTGGGACGAGCGATCGCGAAAACCGGTGTGCAGTAGCCTCGTCGTAGGTGCTCTTCAGGTACCTGGCATCTTGTCGAGTACCTCTGCTTTTCCTCACTGTGTGTTGCTACTTCTCCATTCGACGTACAGGAAATACGCTCCAGCAGCGTACGCAACCGTGTTAAAGATTCCAAATACCTGCGCAAACAGCAGAAAAGTTTCAATGTTTATCGTGCTCAAATTACCTCTGCACTTTTCATTTCACGTGTGATCGACACGAATTTAATAGGATTCTTACCCCTCCTGCTATATTCCTCGAGGTAGACGACCCGCTCAGCGCGCTCCAAACGGATAGTTGCGCTATGAAAGCGATCATGTAAAGTACGGCAAATATCGTTGTGTTCAAAAGTTCCTGCAATTAAGGAGTGACTGGTTAGTACGAAATCAAGTTGCTTGCGTTCGTCGAATCGTATTTTCCTTTCCTTACCGTCAAAATCCAGTTGATAGGTAACTTGAGCGCCTCTCGAATAGATAACACGTAAATGAAGCACCATAACAGGGTGGCGATAAAGGCTGTTACGGCAACAAATAAGAACCAGTGGGTTGCACCTACCCACGCCGGTGATGCACATGCCATGCATATTATGCCAAGTGCCTGAAACAAATTGAAATACACGTGTATGTGTGCGTACGCGTTTCATTCAATTCCTTTGACAATTTACTCAACGTGTTTCAATTTACATTTAACACGTCGGATTAACGTGTTACTCTTTCGATACATCATCAGCCGTACGTTGTACTTGGGTAAATATTTTTATATAATCGTCGACCGATTTTCCAAGTTCTATCCACTCCCCGAATTCTAAAACTTCCACCTTTTCCTCCAGAACGTTCGCAAATTCTAAAGAGACCGCGTTTAAAAAATATTCTTCTCGACGTGCAATTTTGTCCTGTGCTCTCTTCAGCGTTGCTTCTCTCTCTGCCTTGAGAACGACGAGAGGTAATCTCTTTGCTTCGAGTTGGTCGGGGTCGAAATGTTTCTTATTCAAAAGAACGTTCTTCATTCTATCGAATTCTTTGGCCTTCCATGCAACGTGTTTCGGAACTGGAGCGCTGCGCGCCCTTTTCTCCTCTTTCAATCTCAAACGCGCCTCTTGTTCTCTCCTCAGTCTTTCCCTCGCTTCTTCCGTCTCCCTTTTTCGCTCTTTGTTACGCCTAGCTGATCTATTGGTTAACGAGGTCGGATCGTTAGCGAGAAAATCGTTCTGCCAGCTGATAAAAACATTCTTCCTTCGCACTTCCCTCCACACGTACTCCTCGAACCAATCCATCCGTTCGATCGCGTCTTCGCTACGAAAAATCTCCGGCTCTTTAAACACCCGAAACAATCCACCTTGATCCCCTACACCGATCATCTTTGAACGTTCCAGAGGAAATAGAGGATATTCCAACAGGGTCAAGTGTACGATCGATTTGGCCGATACAATTTTCGAAAATACCGGCTGATTCGGTTCGTTCTTTACATCCCAGATCTCAAGGCTACCATCTTGGCTACCGAGTAAAAATACCCCAGGTTCGTTGGCCCAGCAACAAGTCGCGTACCAAGAAGCAGTTCTCCTCGAAAATAAAGGGGAATCCATATAGTCGTCCTTCCAAATGGCGAACACCTGTCCACCAATTGTCAGGAGGACGTCTCGAAGGTGTGGCGACCGTGTAATTTCTGCAACTGGACCGTTGTGTACGCACGAACGATTCAACACCTCGCATTCGACAACGTCGGACCATTTTTCCTCCAACGATTCCCCTTCCCATCTGCACTCTATCAATCCTTCTGCGCAACCTATCCACAAGTTCTTCATATAGTCTTTCTCGTTCGAGTGGAGAACGCCGATGGACGGAAGACGTAGACATAAGGGGGTGAAGTGTTGTACATCTTCCGAAGGTCCAATTCTTAACTGGCAAATCGGTTGAAATAATTCTTCGGAATCGTTCTCGATAATGCTGATTGCGTTGAAACGAGAAGGAACATTCCAAACAGCCACTGTACCATCCGCAGAAGCTGTTAGAAACTGTACATCAGAGGAAATGGATGATTTTGTCATCTTCCCATTTGGCTCTATTCTATACTTGGCATCCATCCACTGAATCTTTCGAACAGGTAGGCGATGAGAGCGTTGTTTGTCCGAGACAACGACTGGCCGAAACACTGGCAAGTTGTTTCGCGTGGTCGTTCCAACTTTTATATTTTTGTCGTCGCGGTAATCTTTCATGTTCCAAATAATCACTTGACCGGTGGAACAGCCTCCTAACACGAGATTCTCGGCGTACGGGCAGAAGGAGACGGAGTAAATTTCTCTGTGATCCTCGAGGACGAACTGTGGACGAAGAGGATCGGTTAATTTCCAAAGAAGCACTCTGGCTTGAAATTCGTTTTTCCAAGCTCGAATAGAGTCGGTGATGTATGAAATCGCTACGTACTCTGTCAGTTTTGGATGTACAGAAACGTCCGAGAGAGCTTTGTTCGCCGTCAGACTAAAATCAGCAAAAGACACCTGTTGGTGGAACGCCGCCACCTCGGGGACCATTTCGATGTCGCGTTCTCGTCCAGACAAATTTTCAATATCGTCTACGTGCAAATTCACAACTGCATTGTACTTGATTACGTCGATCATTTCTTGCGAACGATCTTGTAAAAATAATTCCAAAGGTGTCCTTTCTCTGGGTTCTTCTTCCTCTTCATCTTCTTCTTCTTCTTCTTCTTCTTCTTCTTCTTCTTCTTCTTCTTCTTCTTCTTCTTCTTCTTCGTTTTGGTTTTCCTTCTCCTCTTGTTCGCAAGGTTCGCCGGCAAACGTGCCACCGCAACTGTCTTCGTACGTGTATTGAGTCCACGCATTTTTCGGATAACCAGGATACGTTTGAACGAAAGTTTCTCGAGGTTGTAGGTTAGTTTGAACAGCTCTAGAAATGCATCTTCGCTCGATGTTCTCGAATGTTTCGTCTACGTTTACGAGTTGCACGTAGCTGTCCCTAGAATCGTTGGAACCTCTGTCGCCTAATATTCTAGAGAATCCCAACATTTTTCCGGGTAAAACGATTTCTATTTCGAACAACTCCCTCGTGTTTCTCACAAAGGTTTCGTCCACTTCCGAGCCGCTGTTGAACGAGTTCCATGGTTTCGCGGTTTTTATTACCTTACCGATAACTTTGCGCCAGATAAGACCAGTGATATTTCTGTTCCGTTGTGAAACAAGTCGTTCCGCCTCTTCGCTGAGGCAAATCACGAATTCGTCGGAAGTTAATCGAGTGGAGGAATAGCCGAGGAGGAAGGCGTCGGCTTCGTAAGCTTCGATCTTCTCCCTATATGCTGACAATGGCGAATCCGGTAGTTTAGCGAACTCGAGGACAAGATCTCGGTGCACATACGCCCACGGGTATTCCAGGAACACGCGTTCGCCGACCAAACAACCCAGTTCTCGTTGCGTCTTCGTATCGAGTCTCAGGCGTTCCACATTTTCGATATTTTCGTCGACCAGCGTCCAAACGAACGGATACTTAACCCCTTTTCTCGGCATCTCGACTTTATTCGAACCTTCCAAGCATCGATCAAACTTTCTCGCTTCCTAGAGACCTCCGTTGTAAAGGAACATTTAAATGCGAATGCGTCGAAAATGTAGAGGCAGTAAAGAGCGGAATGCACGAAAGGGTGAACGGGCGCGAAAGTGCGAAGGATTGGAACGCTAGAACTCTGCACCGAAGGAAGAATTTTACTTTCACCGTTTGAAAACGTGCGTCGACCGCGATAAACGTTCAACTAAGAATTCCTAGGATCGACAACCCGTGCAATTATCATACAGGTTATTAATATTAGTGGCAGCGGCTCGAACGGTTTAGTGGTTCTGGAACGCGAATCAATCTTAAAATAAAAGTAGATACCTACTTGGACCACTGACCTTTCGACGGTTCCGCACTAAATGTATGCGCGTAGATCGCATACCTGATAGAAAAAACTTGGAAGCACATAGCGACGAGCCTCGTTCGCGCAAAATTCTTTATAAAAGCGACGAATGTTGGAATAAAAGTAAGACGTGCAGGAAATTGAAGTATAACTCGAATGATAATTCTATATTGGATAAATAGCAGGTTGAAAATATAGGTCGGACATGTACATTATTCATGGGGGGAATGGTCTACGCGTCGCGCTACAAGTATGCCACTTCTAATATACATACATAACATTAACCATCGTAATAACGATGGCAGTGACGTACGTAGTTAGGTATATGCGTCTCAATTCCATTTACTTAAACTCGTAGATGTGGAATTGACGAGCAGCGAAACGAAACGTAACATCGTCGCGGCTTTTGCTCCGTTGCGTTTCAATGAAAATCGTTTTCGCTTTTCTAAAGTGTTAGCACGAACGAAGAAGAATCGGAGTGGGCAACGATAGGAGGAAAAGATTCGAGCAAACAAATCGTTTCTAAAAATAACGGCAGCCGGTCCCGGTGCTTGTCGTCGACGAGCTATCGTCTCTCGTTCACGGTGTTTAGCAAACGAGGACGGGGATCGCTGAAACGTCGCGGGGTCAGCTGAGTTTATCGAATCAAACGAGCGTACGAAACGAACTAAATATCAAATAGATATGAAATGAAAGTGATAGAAATTGAAGAAGGGTTAAATTGCTCGCAAGAGTAAGAGGAGGATTTCTGCGTAGTGTAACGCGATCGTGGCTGTCGCGACCGTGCACTTAGAAAACTGCTTAGTTAGTGGAAGCTGAGAGAATTAGTGAAAGACGCGAAGACCGGCGCGGCGGTGTAGATGAGAGACAAGGCTCGAAGAGAAACCTTACGACCCACATGCGCTATTCGTACGCGGTTACTAATTGTAAGTGGCTACTACATAGTTACAACCTACTCTTCGACAAATTATATTAAGAATTAATCGACGATAAACTTTGAAACACCGAATAATCCATCTAGATGATGAAAATAGGTATAGTAAAGTTACGTCGAGAAGGTGACGTAAGTATATTCCTTAAAACGGCGATGACTCCGAGACGCCCCTCGTTTTTATCTTAACTTTCCAGAAATAATGCTTCTACAATCGACGACAACGTGACGAGACTGTCCCGTTTTATCTACCAGCTGAATTCTGAGAAGCGGATAATTTTCCTTTCGATTGTTTGTAACGACAACACCGGAAACCACGAGTCACGAGAAAAAGAAACACCGATCGGTTGCTAGTAAATTGAACGGTTTCGTGCCCGTTCCGTTCCACTCATTTAAATTGGCAAACTGTATTCAGGATTTACGCTACTTCGTAGCGGTGTTGTAATTTCTTTCCTTTTTCTTCTTTCTTTAAAGCGCTATCGTTCGAGGCTTCCGTTTTTTATCTACAAATCAATTTGTGCAATATTATGATTTACCGAACGATTACACAGTTCCAGCAAGGCAACCTACGCTATCTCGCTGGTATAATCGCTATGAAACATACCACGGTTAACAGAAATAGCTGTTTAATTAGCAATGTAAATCGCGTTAAATAAGGTTACAGATTTAGCATTGACGTATTGCTATGTAAGTAGGTACGTTAGTTAGTACGCGAACGTAGTGGAGAAATTATGTAAAACATGAAATCCTTTTTGCGTATCGTTAGGTACAAAGTACGTACTCGTAATCGAGACCATTCAGAGGTTCTAATTTTCATCTTGATACGGTTGCGTCATTTCGCGAGGACCGGACAAAAATGAGGGATGACTAATAACGCGAATAACAATCATCTATCTACCCACGCGGTGTAACGTTCGAAGAAAGTGACGATAACAAGTCGAAATTTTTTGGAAATTCTCGAGGACAATAACAAATGAAATTGGAGCGGAGAGCGATCGAACGGTGAAAGAATATCACGATAAGATGATTCACGGTCTAATCTAATCGACTGGTTTTATTCCGTCGAATATGTATACCGTGAAATAAACTCTACTAGCAATTGGCGCTGCGAGGCGCGGCTTGTCCTTGCGTATAAGGTGCTTGCGTGCGATTACCGTGGTGCATAACTTGTTGCACCAGCCGATATGCCTCATGAACAGCCTACACACCATAGAAACTCGTGGCGCTACGATGCGGCAACCGTCGCTCGTCGCGATAATCCACGTTGCGTAATTCCTCTTGATGTTCATCTTTGCTCAGCGCGGCTGCACGCTGAAATTCGCCTTGTCCAAAGACATCGCGCTGCGTAGGTATGTATGTACATACTATATAGGCCGAGGAACACTTATCTTGGCGGGGCCAGCAACGGTATCGGTGACACTTCATTCTACAAATACGCGTCGAGACCTTAACAGTGCGACCTTTTCCCGCCTTTTCTTCTCACGCTTAATCGAACAGAAGTCAATTCTCCTTCTCGTTCGAGTAGGTGCATTGTTGCGATGCGAGATTCTTTTCTTGGCCGTGGACTTACGCTCGCGTCGCGTGCACTTTTGTAAAAATACTTTACGAACGCTAGAGAAATGTCACAGGTTGTATGGAATCGGTGACCTTGAGAAATACTGGATTCATTCAGTTAGCGGGTAACGTAACGTCTATACACGAGAATAAGTATGACGAACGACACTATGCGTATCGACGGATTCCGATTTACATACCGTGCAACACAACGGCGTAAACAGACTTACGAAAAGATAAGGATAGATAAGAACGGCGCGTATGAGGATTACGCGGTAGGTACGTGGATACTTGAGCATCCATTCCAACGTGGTACACGTGGACTTTTATTAGCGGTAGATTGGTCGTAGAGGAACGAAAATTATCGAGAAAAAGTCAAGGACAGCTTGAATTCTTAATGAATCGTCGTTTCGATACCGTTGGTGCGGCCTCGACGTATGGCAGTAGGATGGAACTCTGAGTATGTGGGACGCCACGTATGGTCCCGGTCATCGGGATGAACATGTATGGTCATCGAACGTGTGTCTAGTTCGTAGGGACGTGTGTCGAGCGCATCGAAACTATGCCACCGACCGGGAATCGTTCCAAGTCTTTCGTCGATCATGCACGATCATCGTGCACACATTTAGTAAAAACCGGTTCTTCCTCTTTACATTGTATAATACATACAGGTACTTGATATCGTGTATGTATAATACGATAGATACTTGGTGTAGCCTTAGAGGAAAGCCTCTATCCTGTTAAGTTATTCCTTTCCAAAAACTTGCAATCGTTAAGATCGTCCGGTACGGTTTCGGTGTACTTGTGGTTCGTTTGAAACTTGTGCATCGGCGGATTCAGTGGACTATTCGTGGACAGCAAGAGTCTCGTGAAGTAATAGCACGCTGGATTTGATTTCTATCTGTTGGTAATTCAATCAGACGGTTGCATAGTCACCGCGTCGAGATTTTCCACGTTAAAAGACAGCTCTACTCGAAGGCCAGCAGCGTAGCTCTGTGAAAATCCTCTTGTAAATTATTCGATTATTTATCAAACAAGTTCTGCTGGTAGAGTCCTGATAAAGCTTGTCTATTTGCATCGACCGAAAGCAATGCGCTCTTTATTTACCAGCGAGTATAAGTGGGGAAACGGCGACGGGCGTGTCTCTGGCTGCACGTGCGTGAACAAAAGAGAAACGATGCTTTACTGATGATCACTGCTGATGATCACTTAACGGTATCGCTCCGATTTCGACGGCGAATTTTACACCGATCAATATTAAGAAACGAAGAAATCTATTGGGATAGTTTGTTAATCGTTCCGTAAGCAGATTACCGTTACGCGGTTATGCCGTTGCAAGTTCAACGTCACGGTAGAAACTATACGATTCCAAGCTCTACATGTGTTTTCGCAGATTGTGCTTCTTGAAAGATGCTAAAACTTGATTATAGTGCACGCACGCGAAAATACGTCCCTTACCCTAGCAGACGTAATATTGCGCAACGCTCCAAAGCATGCGTGTTTAAAATAACAATGCCGCGTGGAAGATATAAGAGGATCGTAGCGCCAAAAACAATGACGAACGTCGGTCCACATCGCAAAAAATAAAACCTATCTCAAAGTAGAAAGATCCATTTACGGAGCATGTAAAAACCGTGCAGACGTTTACACAAACCTATCCGCCGTATTATGTAAAACACGATGCCTGCAATCTTTCATCGTAAAATTACCATTTTTTACCTTACTAATGCCTTACTATTACACGGGATTCTATTTTTATCGAGATAAATGTACTGCAAGATCCATTACGTAATGCTACCTAATCCGCAACTTTCTTTGGAAAATAAACGTAAACAGTGCGCCCTAATCTTGCTTGGAGATGTGATCAATTTTCAACTGGTCGGCAGTTGACCGTTGTGTTATCGTGAAAACGTTTTCAGAATTGTAACTCTGGTGGTCGATATTGTAATAGGAAAAAGTTTTAAGGACAAGGATCGATAGAGGGATCGTTACTCACCAGCTGCACGAGTTTAATGATACCGGGTATCGTTCTGAAGTAGGGCACGTTCAACGTAATGTTTGTTAGAGGGTTTGGTTGAACCGGTTCCGTCTTCACGGTAGGCACCTGTCGAGGATTGTTGCTGGCGTTGTTGCTGGTACCGTCCATCGTCACAACGGTCTCCGACATCATATTACGTTTTCTTCGCGCCAAGTATATCGTGAGCTAACTCGGCGTATATTTGTGAGTGAAAGGTGCCGATGTAAACACTAGCAGAAAATGAACTGGGAACCGGTAGCACGATTGCCAAGCCCGACAACACCTGTTGGTTCACCACGGCCCGCACGGAGGCCTCACCACTGAATACTACCTACTTACGTATTAGCCGGCGACCCGCTATTCCCCTACCGCATTCTATTTCCCCCACCATTATTTCATTCCATCTTTAACTTGTCAACCAAGTGGAAGCCAATCCCTACGTTTCACGCGTTTTCCGGTTCTTCCGCTTCCTTTTTCTCTGTCCTAATTAATAAACGCGTTACTTCCTCACAAATTCAACGATGCTTCTCCATTCTTTCACTAGAAACTCCTTTCTAGTTGTTCTCTTAACTTTTCCAACTCACCTTTTAACGCGAAATCCCTCTGTAAACGGTACAGTACAGTCGTTTAATAATCGTTTAATAATGCAAACTGACTTTGTATCGATATTTTAAAAAATTACACGATTACTCTTCCGTACGATTTTATACTTACACAGTTTCGTAACGTACGTTTTCAGAACGTAGTAAATATTATTTTAAACTTGTTTCTCAGTCTGTGAACGTGAGTCTGCTGAAGTATGTCCTTCTAAAAGAATGTATCTTTATTAGGTATTCGTACAAGTATATCGATGAAATGAGAAATTTTACGAGTAACCTTTTAAACTGAAACGTTTTCGCGGGGTTCTATGGGAATGCGGAAGATCATTGGTACGTAAGATAGAAAGGGTATACGTAGTGGCACGTGCACGTCGCATCGATCCAATCATTTGTTTGCGGCATTACATTATATGTAATAACTTAAACCAATCGATAAATCGTTCTAACAGAATTGACGTTAACACTAGCCAGTAGTGGGGGGCTGTATTGTTCATCATTTGTGGCTTATCAATGCTACTTTAAGTATCTCTTGTGACGATATAGACGTGTGATTTGATATTTTTTTACACAAATAGTGCGCAACTTCAAGGAAAAGAATTAATATATATCGATACAGGTGTCGCGTTTTATTGCTCTTCCTTTCAAAGGTATAATTCTTCAACTTATTTTTTAATACAAATATTTGTGCAACAGTTCTTAGATATCCGGCACATTCGTCACATCGGTATGCAATTGATCAGCAGTTGCGTTATAATAGTAAAATTAGCACTGAACATTTTCCTTTTATACACCTCTTCCTAATTTTCTTTATGATATTTATATTATAAATTTTAATAAATAATTCAACACCCTTGTCCATTTTATTACTTTTTCACCAAAAACACATTCCATAACTGTTAATAAATGCTTCGGTAATGATATATACTTTACATAGAGCAATTTACTTTCAGAAAAATCCATTCAAAATGTCTTTATATCCAACTCTCGAAGATTTAAAGGTGGATCACATGATGAAGGTAGGACAGAACTTTATCTCTAACTATACAATTATCGATATTAATTTTCTCTCTTCTGAAACTTCCTAACTGATCTACATATTGTATAGGCTCAACTGCAGGCAGAAGCACATATACCACCACATACTCTAACTATGCAGAAGAAACAAACTGATCCATCTGCTCCTGCTTATGATTCTCTTTCTGGACCACTATATCCCTCGTTAGGAGAATATATGGGGTTGGAGCTTACGGAAGATGTGATAGCACAAAATATGCCAGAATATTCTATTGTAAATCGTGCTGTAAGTAATAGAAGGTAACTTACTGCAGTACTGTAAATGAAACAGGAAACACCTAAATTTCATTTCAGATGACTGTAAGTATACCAACAGCTTCAGGTCCTTTAGCAGGTATGATGGTTGCACCATTGTCTGGACAATCTTTAGGATTACAGAGAGCACAAGTTACAAATGGTATAAGAGAGGTAAATCCATGATTTTCTGTATCTGTATGCTACTGTAACATACTCTAAGAAAGAAGTACACAACACTTACTAGGATAATACTTTCCTTCTATTTTTATAGCTAATACTATGCAAAGATAAAAACGGTAAAATTGGTTTGAGGGTTCATTCTGTGAATCAGGGTATTTTTGTATGCCTGGTAAGTCAAAATTCACCTGCTGCACTTGCTGGATTGCGATTCGGAGACCAAATTTTAAGTATCAACGAAGTTTCCGTTGCCGGTTACGAGATGGAACAAGTTCATAAAATGTTGCGAAATGCTAATGTGAACGGTATTAGGGTAGTAGTAAGGGACAGGTTAGCCGGTTTATATTGATTAAATTTGTAAGAAAAATCAGGTTCGTTTCTTCGATATTATTAACCAATATTATCCCATTTTATCGATTTCAGACCATTCGAACGCACAATAACGATGCACAAAGATAGTACGGGATATATTGGATTTCAGTTTAAAAATGGAAAGATAACCGCTTTAATGAAAAATTCTTCTGCTGCGAGAAACGGACTTTTAACCGATCATCAAATATTAGAAGTTGAAGGCAAGGTATAATACGATTTCCACAATTTATTATTTAACGCAATCGATGAATTTGACAAAATATCAATATTATCTCACGAAATTGTTCAGAATGTTATAGGATTGAAAGATAAGGAAATCACCAGCTTGATTGAAAGTGGTGGAAACATAATCACAGTAACGATTATTCCGTCGTACATCTATGACCATATGGTTAAAAAGTACGTTTATGCCAATATCTAATATTATGCCTAATCTTACGACATTACAAACTTTTAAACGAAGCAATTTTTTTTTTTAGAATGAATACCAGTTTATTGAAAAATTTGATGGATCATTCTGTGCAATGATTCTGTGCACCAGATGTTTAAAAACATAATGTTCGAAATTTCAGATTGATTACATACTTTATTATTTTGAACATCTACAACGCAATTTTCTGTAATTTATCGATAGACCATAGATCGATCTACCATACATCAACCAGGTATAGTACCGCGTTTATATTCACAGTATTCGCAAAAAATTTAAGTAATATCTTTGCAAAAGTTGTTTTATTTTTTTAAGTAAACTTTTAATAGTAAAGGCAGTTGAGATTTTTTGCCATTTTCCACATGTACAATAACTATATATACACCGAAATACGTTCAAACGGATTTTTATCTTTGCACAATACTAATACGTATATATTTCCATGTCTATTATTTACAATATAATTATTTGGTATCGTATAGTTAGGTCTAGGCTGACTTTGTTATTTAAATAAGAAAATTATATATCATCGTTGTCTTTTTATAAAACAAATTAATGATTATTTATAAAATCTTATGTTAGTGAATTGTATTCATGTTAATTAGGGGCGTAGTAAGTGGTTATTCTTCATTATATGTACACATGATTATGTACACGTACGTTATATACATTCTAAATATTTTCTTATATTCGTTGGTGAATTTCTATTTTACTTTTCACAGCAGCATACTACTTTATTATAGTTAAATTTTTATGTGATCGTCACTTTTGATGCAAGTAAAACATTTGATGCGGTCGGTTTGCCAATCGTTGTGCCAATTTCGAATAATATAGATCATGTAGATAATAAAGATAAAATATACCTATCTGTAAAATGATAAATTCTGAAAATACGGCTATTCTTCACCTTATATTCCTTACGTCCTGATTATCCATCTTATCTTACATTGTTTTAAAAAAAAAAAAATGTTAGTCGAAACGTATTAAGTAAGTACGTAATATCCCAACAGTATCTATTAAACTTCCGGTGACGCACGCGCATTTGGTCTATTTTAAACATGGCAGTTTTTGTTTTATTTGTCAATTCTGCTACTAGTATAGCACAAGAATTATTAAGAATGTGAAGTGTTATATCAAGTAGTATTATCATGAACGAAGCTCTTAATTATCGGGTTAAAGATTTGTTATATATGTTTCGTACTGCGGTAAAAGCAACCATTTATGCGAGCCTAGGTACCGTAAAGTACCATTAAGTAAGTGAGTGATATAAATGCGCTCGGCTATCAGCGTTATCTTGTCGAGTCCGGTACCCGACAACAAGATGTCTCATCCTGATTACGAGCAAACTGCTCACGATCATGCTGCGTTGCTTCTGCTTCTGAGACCCATTGGAACGCAAATAAAACAAAAAACTGTAACAAGGTTATGTGAACGAATCGTCAAAGCAGGTAGTAGATTCAGTGTGTCCGATTCTACCGGTGGTACACGTGAAATCCTTGCCAGATTTGTTAGAGAGCATCCTGTTGAAAATAACGATTGGGGAGATTTCCAAACGCACAGGAAATTATTGGGGTTAATTACTTTTGGCAAATATGACAATCAAGCAGAGCTAAACGAGTTGTGTAGAGTGCATGAAACTTTGAAAGTGAAGTACACTGCAACATTATACGATTCGCGTGCTCTACTTTTCGGGCCATTGGAATCAAATAGTGCTCATGAACCACCGGCATCGTTTACTATACCTTCAAACTTCAAAACTAGAGCTGTGTTTTATATAGATGAGACATGCCCTGATCTTGAGGCTCATATTATGGAATGCCTTTATTCCCTCTTTTGGATTTTAGAATCCAAGAGATTAGAAAGATCCAGAGAAAAAATAGACAGGGTTTCACTTTTGTTAGCACCTTTTGAGAAAAAGGATTTCATAGGACTAGATCTCGAGTCCAGAAATAACAGAAAAAGATGCGTAGGTCGTATGACAAAACATTTAGGTGATTTATGTCTTCAAGCTGGACTTCCAGCAGATGCATTAAGCAATTACAATTCTGCAGCTAGTGTGTTACAAGCTGTTAACGATTGGCTATGGCTAGGAGCAGCATTCGAAGGTTTATGTGCTGCATCTGCTTTAGTGTTGTATCCAAATATGTGTAGAAGTCTTCCATTGCAAAGAAATTCTTCTCTTCAAGAAGGAAGTCCAGGTAAACAGAGGTACGTATCAGAGGTTTGTCTCTTTAGACAAGTAGTTGAGTTGATAATTAACCAATTGTATTCAGAAGGGGTTCACAAGCTGTGGCTACATTACCATCACCACCGGCAATAGAGCTGGTGAAGAGTAATATGCCACATATTTTGCTACCTGAAGAGATATCGAAAAAATATCGCGAGGCAATAGTTCATTATAGTAAATATCAGTACGCTGGAATAATTGAGACAGAAGCTAGCTTTAAAGCTACAAGAATTTCAATAGAACAAAATTGTACTTTACAAGCTGCTTCGTATTTAAATAATGTTATACTCATAAATTTGCCATTAAGCGAACAAGAAAAAGTATGTAATTTATCTGGGAGAAAGAATGCTCTTAATTTTTTAATGCTCACACAGGTGTACAACAAGTAACTATGTGACAAATTTTAGATCGATCGGTTCACTACATTGTCAGATTTATATACAAGCTTTGGTTTTGTAAGAAAAGCATCTTTTTTCTTGAGATTTGCTGCTACAAGGCATGTATCTCAAAATAATCCTAATCCAGATTGGCAACAGTGTTATAATTTAATGCTACAAGCTACTTCTGGATTTAAATTGTCTTTAGACCCTGTTGACATGTCTCCCGGTAAAGTTTTTTAATGGAATGTTGAAATTTTTCACGGTGTTATAACAAGTGTAGATGTTAAGGGATAGTTCATCTGTACAGATAGTCATAGAGGTTGGCCAGTTATTCAAATTCAAGTAATAAATGAACTTGTTACCGCGGCTAATCGCATGGGTAATCCAGCGTTAGCAACCAGACACATGACATTTTTACTTCAGACAATGTATAATTATTTAACACCTAACGACCGTAAAGAAACTGCTTTGCAACTGCAAAACGTATCTCAACAATGCGAAGGTGCTCCCGTACCTCTGGTAAGTTTTGCGAAAATGTTACGTTGGCGGGGCACCGCCGCATTCACAGAACTTGAGAATTGAGTGAAATTTTTCCGATAGGTTCTAGACTCGGGTACAGTTATACCGCCAGCTAATTTAACGAATATTCCAAAAACCAAGTCGTTTATTTTGAAAAATATGCAACCGCATCTTCAGCCACAAAAGATCGAAAGAATCAAGGAGGATCATGGTCCGTTTTTATTCACACCGATTAATTTTGGATCGTTAGAGAGAAAGAATATATCGAAAAGTAAAGTTGGTAGGTTTATGCATCGTCGTCAATTAGATATTTTCTACAAAACTAGATACATACATATGGTTTTCCTATAGCAACGAACAAAAATGGTTACAGATTATTTATGGGTAGAGGGTGATATCTGCGAAGTATCGATGCAACTTGTAAATCCCCTGCCGTTTGAACTTCACGTTTCCAACATGAGACTTCTTACGAATGGTGTAGTGTTCGAATCAATTCCTGAAAGTATTATACTTCCTGCCGAGTCTGGACCAATTGCAGTAACATTAGCGGGCAGGCCTAAAGAAATTGGAGATTTAGAGATTCTTGGTTTTAGTACGCACACATTAGGGGTGAAATCAAACTGTAGATTAAGATATATGGAGGGAATGGTTCATTCTCAGTATACCGTCGAGGTAGTTCCCGCATTACCAAGGATAGAAGTGGCTACAAGTTTACCACAAACTGCGAGCTTCAGCTCTGGAGAAAATATAGTAACTAGTGCAAGTATATCGTTGTACGGTGGTGAAAGGTACATGCTAATCTCTCTCACACACGCACAGGTATAGTCTCGATCTTTTTCTTTTCGAACGAAACGTAATAGCAACTTACCGTACGTTGTAGTGCCGAATGTACCGTAACAATTACAAATAGCGGCCAAGTTCCTATCGAAACGATCGAATTATCGGTGCAATCTACATTAGACGCAACAACCGAGGGTAAAATCTTTAAATGGAACGATGAAAATTTCATGGCACAATTACCTTTGCAGCCTGGCGCTAATGCGAGTCTTACCTTGTATTTATACGCGGCTACAGATTTTATAGCACCCACTTATCGAAACGGTAATATCAACTATCTTTTGTTTATGAAAATAAAATTTCAATTGACCGTGATGTTTTTGTTTTAAACGCCTTCTAGATATCAGCAGCAGTACGTATCTTAGTCAGCCGAGCAGTTTAATGTCTCATTCAGGGTACAGTTCGTTACCATCTAGATTAAGTTCTCCGTCACACACAAAGAGACAATCCGAATTGACTTCCTCGTTTAGATCGGGCTTAAGTTCTCATTCCGGACATTCTTCCTTGCCAAGTTCGCGTTTATCGAAACTTGCCGTTCCATTGCATACCTCGAACGTTGTCGAGGGACACTTAAAAATCAAATACTCAGGTGGTGCTGGCCTAGCAGCAGGTTACTGTCGTATTTCATCGGTTTTCGTAACGATCGAGATGTTGCCAAGTGTACAGATTACAAACTGGGATGTACTTCCAGCTGAAACGTAAGTGACAAACGGCAGAGCAGTATTTTTTTTATCGTGTACTTCGCAGTTTCGATACACGCACATATATACATTTTCAGGCCGTCGCAATTTTATCTCGTGCTAGATTTAACAAATATGACCAATCACGAAATGGAATTGCATTACACGGAAACTAAATGTATATACATGGAGGGTAAAGAGCCGTGTAGAATTCCTGTGCCAGTTGATCGATGCCCGCTTAATAAATTATCTATGGTAATAACGAATCTTTAGCCGTACTTACCGCAACTACCAAAACTTTGTCGTATTTTCTTCGCATTTTGTTTGGCAGTTAAACGGGGCTGGTGATATCGGGGAACTTCAAAAAGTTTGTTCCGAACACATTGCCTCGCTGGTCGATTTACGCTGGCAATTATTAGGCACGGAATTGATCGGTAAAGCAACACTTTCTGGCATTACTCTTACTCAAGACATGTTAGACCTTGTCAGGATGAGTCCCTTACAATGGGGTATGTTGAAATAATCACCGTACAAGTAATTTTCACTCACGTCTGATATGAATAACAATCGCCAACAATCGCCTTGCAGAGATTAAAATAAACGATACAATTGTAAAGGCACAAGAAGAACTTACGTGTAGCTTAGGGGAATGCGTTAGCGTTGGAATAGGTATATGCAACGCCTTGGAACATCCGTTGAGTGATCTTATGTTGTCCATCAATTTTTACCAAGATCACCATAATGGTGTGAATAATTATCAACTAGAAACGAGATTATCCATCGCTGGTGCGAATAAAGTCATGCTTCCAGCAGTAAGTTACTCGAACGATCGAAATATCGTAATAAATCCCCTGCGCTTAGTTGTTATTCTCTTTTATTTTTAGTTACAGGAGTATGGAAGAGTTTATCACGAATGTCGTGTAGTGTTCTTCACAGCCGGACAATACAAAATAGATATTCAATGTAGTAGTAAAGAGTCAGCTCCAAATACGCCAGTACTTTGCTCGGAATTGATTAATGCTGGACATACTTGGCGCTATATACCACCGATAGAGATCACTGTTGACGATTACTGACAGGTAAATAGAATTATTTAAACGTGTGACTTTGTAACATTTGTAAAAAGAAGAAATAAATAAATATATCTATGCTTTGTTATCATAATTATATTTACAACGAAATTCAGAGATTTTACTGTTTTTAATAAACTAGCAGAAAACATCCATTGTTCATCTTTAATTCTCTCAATAATACATATCTTTTGTAAGTCTATCGATCGATACCGAACAAATTTTACGAAATATAGACCTTCGGCTTTCCTCCTAAACGGATCATTTCCATTTCTTGTACGTTCCTTCTAAATTTCTTATAAAATGTCAGCACATCAGAATGAGCCCATACTTGTTGAGTGTTAAAATCTAGAACCCGCAAAGATTGCAGGCTTTGCGCCCTTGAAAGGGCTACATACGACTGACCGGCATCGAAGACTCTGGCAAGGCACATTTCAACACAGTCTAAAGTTAAGCCTTGACTTTTATGAATGGAGAAAGCCCATGCCAATTTTAACGGGATCTGCTTTCTATAAAGAACAGTTCCTGTGTTTGTTTTTAAATGAAATTTCTCTAGCTTTGCAGGATACGGTGCACCTGATTTAAATTGAACTACCGGTACACTGCCTTGAAATTTAGTGACTATACCCCTTGCTCCATTTACCAAACTATTGGAAACATTTATATTTTTCAACAACATTACTTGACAACCTACTTTCAATATTAATTTACTAGGAACGTTTAATTGTTGATTTAATACTGTAGTCATTCCTTGATCAGAATCTTGAGCCATATAAATTTTCTGCTCACCCTTTAATTCGTTCAGTTGAAATTCATTGATCTCTTCAGCTTCTTTCACGTGAGAACAAAGTCTTGTTGCTAAAATACCATTGTTCTCTATTTTTTGTTTAGCCGTAGCTTTAAGAATTTCTGTAATTTCATCTGTAACTCTACCTATTCTGATATTATTTAAAATACTGATAAACTTAGGGTCCCTTTGCCTGTAAACAGTTTGTAACTCAAAATTATAATGTACACACTTTTCCCACATATTACTATTGAAACAGAAATTTGCCTTTCTGTCTTTTGTGGAGATAGGAGGTAATTGGAAAAAGTCTCCGCATAGTATCAATTGTATTCCGCCGAATGGTCGTTCATTTTTACGAATGTGTCTGGCCACTGCTTCGATCTTGTCAAAATATTCTCCGTCGACCATAGAAATTTCGTCAATGATCAAATGTTTCGTTCTTCTCCATTGAATAGCGTTACGAGAAGCCATCTGATAGCATCTTTCTAAATTCGCGGTTCCCAGTCCAATTCCCGCGAACTGATGCAAAGTTATTCCGCCTATATGACACGCCGCTACACCGGTACTTGCTGTAGCAGTTGTCACGTCGGGAGGGAGGGCTGCTATTATTTTTTTCAATAGGAACGATTTTCCGGTGCCTGCACTGCCAGTAAAAAATACGTTTTTCCCATTAAGGATTGTCTGCAGAATTTTTGCTTGTTCTTCGCTAATCTGTCCTGTAGTCGGATTTTCGTAAAGTTTCTTCGCTGTGGGCGGCTTCGATGTATTTTCATCGGTTCGTTTTCTCTTCCTTGTCGCGCTAGGGGATGGTGTCGTAATCGTTGCACGCGACACATTGATAGCCTTTTCTTTAGCTTTATTAGTTTCTGTACTTGTTGCAGGACTAATTTCTTGCACACCACCCAACGATTTGTCAGAAAGTAGTTTTTCTTTCAAAAGATTTTTTCCCGCCTGCTCCGATTGGCCTGTCACTTTAACGTATATCGTTTTCAAAAAGTTAATCAACTGAGCTGTCGGTGCATTCGATAAGAATAACGTACAATTTTCTTTCTTAAATATAATGGTAGCTTTTCCTTCGGTCATAAATTTGTTAAAAACCGAGATAGATTTCAACGATAGCTTTGTCGTTGCATTCGATTTTTCTGCACACACTTCCACAAACATTTCACGAAAATTATTTCGAATTAAACGTAACGATGCTGTCCTATGATTTGACTTCTTTAGCATCGAACCTTGAGAATTTGTCCATTCGATCGTAACAGAACACGTTATTGGACAACTGTCTTTATCCATGTTCACTCACGAAAATATTATATATAATTAAATAAAATGAATAAAAATGATGCAGGGTGTACAAAAGTTTTTGAACACATCGGACTCGAGAATTACAAAATATTCGTAAAAAATACGATGCACCAACAACACGTTTTCACTCACTCCGCCATGAACGACTAAATTGGCGGGATATTTACGCGCGCAATATCCTAGGGATATTTTGTCGTTTCTCCATAGAAATGCCTCAGGACGAACGATCGAATTCTAGATAAAGAATTCTAAATAAAACGACAGTCTGCAAAAGAAAGGACTGCCTCTTCGATAGACCAACAAGTGTTTGATGTTTGTAAAAATTCTTAACGCAGTAAACGCGTTCCAAATGTCTGACCAAAAGTGAACCAATTACAACGCGAACAAAGTATCTATAACTTTCAAGTGTTTACAGGTGAGTTGGTGACTCAACGACTCTATTGGTTCGTGATCGCGTTATAAAATTATTCTCCAATGCAACTTCCTTCGTGAATGGGTTCATTTTGCGATAATATATGGCAGAAGATATTCGACAAGAACAAGCTCCCTGTTCTGTAGTAAAGTATGTACTACTTGTATTAAGGAAATTACGCGCAATTAACTTCTTAGACAAGTGATCAGAACGTTTGATTATTGACCCGAGTCTCAGTAGGGAAGAAAGTTTTTTTATGTTGGACAGATGTTAGTAAATGGAAGGACATTTGTATCATCACCACGTTTACAAAATGGTGTTCATTTCGTACTATCCCTTTAAATAGAGATAAGTATATAAATACATGTACATACATGTAATATACATATATTGCGTGACATTTAACATAGAAAAATGAGAGTATGGATTTTAAGGCTGACTCGTTGAAAAAATACTGCATTCTGTGATATGAAACTCCACTGGAACAAGACGCGATTTATTCTCCTTTCATCGACATTGTATTATATAATACCGCCTCTTTAAATGTATTATATTTCCACTCGGCCCGTTTGTACGACACATAGCCATCGATAACGTTGAAGGGAAGCATAAGCCAGAAGATAACATGGCGAATATTTTCCGAAAAATCGTTCGTGTCCAGAAAAATATGAAATGCATATATTTGCATAAATTACAGGCACTCAAATCAGCTACACTGTTAGTCTTTTTATTCTCGTTTGACCCACGTCTTCGAGCTTATACTCTGAATTTCTCGATTACGAGGCATGATATTCTAAAGAGAAGTATATTTGGCAACGGACATATTTACTGACACGGTTATAATTGACTATCAGATTGCGTTATGCATACTTAGAAGAACGTAAAACAATAGTAAGCTGATTCGCTTTCACTTTCAGTTCGAATTGCAAAACGTTTCAACTGGTTAAACTCAATTGTACGCGCGCCGTATGAAAATTTTCAAAGTTATCTTGAATGTGGAACGTATGAGTTAATCGAAAATTCGAAGGTGGTACAGTAGTATGTATAGTTACTAATTACTAATTATGACTAACTATGATCGCCAACTACGCGAAGATGGTCGAGATTATGGGAGCGATTAAGCGTAAAACGTAGAAAGGGTCACAGACAATACTGTACAAGTGGTAGGTACAATCAGAAAATGAAGAAATAGTACATACTAGGCTAAGGGATTCTAGGGAAGAAGCGACATCACGAAACATTTGCCTTAACGTTTGTACACCGAGATGTAAACTTGACTAGCGCTATAGAATAGAAAACGTTGATTTCTTTTTTCCCCGGTGCTTGTGGCCTCTAGCTGAATATTATTAGATATTTTCATCAAATAGGGTATTTAAAAGAACGAAGGGTATACTTACACGTGTCTACACACATTGCACGCGCCCTTTAAACAGATACAGCTTGGATATTTTATAAAATTCTACCTAGTGAAATGATTTATTTATTGCACAAACGAGCATCGAAGGATCGAATAATTAAAAATGATATTTCAATATTCAGCCTGCGAGGTTCCACGTTCACCTTTCCTACTATATGGATGGATTACATGTATTGGGCCTTTGTGGGCATAAAAACTCTACACGAACAAGAGACCTCCCATCTTACTTCTTCCGCTTACGATATAGATATTAAGTACTGTCTATCGGAACTAGTAAAGAATATCGGAAGAAGACCATTACAAATACAGTCATAGCGGAGACTTTGCTGATTTTATTTGATCGACGTAAAGAGTTGACGATATTCGATAGAATAACTTTGGAACACAATTTTCCTCTTTGTTCACGATTGTTTCGCGCATTAAAGATGCGTTTCCTTCGCGACGAAATTTCAAAGAAAGATCGACACAATTGTCTCCGTTTTAGTTTTCTTAGATTCTATCCTATAGCTGGTTCGCGATTATCCGCGAAATTCCATTAAGAGTCATCTGTTTTTTATAAAAATCTAATTTCCACGGAATAACTGAATCGTACTTGAATTATTCACATTGGGCACAACCACACACCAATCTCAACTAATATTAAGAACTTTTTAAACGTCAAGCTTATGAATGTTATTCCTATTTTATTTTCTACGCATACCGTGTTCACAGTCGATGGCAGTTAAGCGCAGATCAGGCGAGTTTCATTCACTTATTATTATTCACATACCCTTAAGTTTCCAATGAAAACATTTAAACAATATCGCGTTACATTCTATCTACTTTACGGTATGAAAAATTGTATCATTTACGGTGAACCTAGAATCTAACGTGTCGATCTTAATCATCCCTCCTTCGTTTTTCCTTTTCGTTCTTTTCTTTACCAGACTTACTGTACATAAGTATGTATGTATAGGTACATAAAGGATCATTCGTCTCGTCACTCGCTTGACTTGCGCTTTGGTATGAACATTTTTTCTATATTACTTCTTACTCGGTAAATTAAACGGTAGAACACTTATCGTAAATTAATCGGTTCAATATGAACACTCGGTTCATACGTTTTCATTTACCAGTACTACTGTAAATACGAACCTTTCATATTACAATTACATTCACCATAAAATGTAAGTAGCAAAGTAGACGAGAGAGTATAGGAAAGGAGTAAATCAACTTTGAAAATCTCTGTACGATTATTCTCTATACATTTATCGGAGAGAGTACAATTAATGTACTGGTTCGTTCGTTTAACGATATGCCATTAAAGTTGTTTGTCAACTCAAAGGGAATAATCTATGCTGTTTCTATGTTAGATACGAAAAACATTCCAATTCAAAAGTTGAATAGAATTTTAAAGGATTGTTCGAAGTAACGTTACCCTTTTGATACCTAAACGACTATATCCGACGTTATAAGCTCGAGTATTTCGCTGCGCTAATCACATTCGATATTGCACTCGTATATTTTGCAATATCACACTTGGCCCTAGGAAATTGCATTTAGATAAAAAGTGTTCGATTTGAAGGGAGTGAAATAATCATACCTATCGGATTTAAAAGATGTGTGGCGCTAATTGCAATTTCCACAAAGAAACAGGCCTGGCAAACACGGTAACCTGACCCTTTTCTTTCCCTCCAACTAGAAACACGTAAAGCGGTGCTGGTCCATACGACGGTGTCTCCGATTCTTTGATATCAATTGCGGCAACCTTTGCCCTTTGCCTCTCAGCTCTCG